TCAACCATCTGCACCAGTAAATAATAACTATTAATATTACATATTTTCATTAATTTAAAAAAAATAATAAAACCTATTGGAGGTGCAAGGCAGGAGCATCTGGTGGCTTCAGGCCTCAGCCTCCTCCCAGTGCACACTCGAACCACACACACACACGGGAAAAAGGCTGGGGAAGCAGCCATAACAAAAATATATTCTTTGTATCCTATCATCCCTCAGGTTCATCTTGCATGTTTGCTTTAAACCACAAACGGCTACTGCACAGTTTTTATGTGTTCCAAGGAAAATTGTCTTTTAGCTAAGAAAGATTCCAAAAAATTGTTTTCAGTACAAAAAGTCTTGTTAAGAGAAAATAATTTTTTTTTTTTGCTCCCAAAATACTACAAGGTGTCTCTAGTGTATGTCTAGTGTACTCTGTGAGAGGTTTGAATTCAAGTCTGAGTTATCGGTGCTGAGTCCCAGGTCCGTGGCACTTGCACCATGGAGGTTTGCCATGCCTGGATGGCTAGCGAGCTGAGAGAGCATCGGATTCTGGTCTGGGCTGGCAAAATGCCCTTGTTCCATGGGGTTGGCGGCCTGGGCAGCAACCAGTCCAGGATGTGGGGAACTGGTTTGTGGGGAAACATGGTGTGGAGAAGGCTGAGGCTGCATCCTTGGGGACGGGCTGGAGTGCGGGGGTTGGGACTGTGGCCGAGGAGAAGGGACAGGCTGGGGGGAGCGCACTTGATTGGAGAGAGAATTTGGGATCTGCTGGCCTTGGAGGTGTGGGGACTGGGCCTGGTTTGGAAGCATATGCTGCTGGGGGCTCATGGGATTGGGCTGAGCAGGAGACCCCATCTGCTGCTGGAGGAGTCGCTGCTGATAGGCCTGTAGACTGGCCCCTGCCTCTGATCCCAAGGCCTGGGGGAGCTGGCCCATCTGTCCCATGCTGCCTTGTTGCATCTGCTGTATGTGATGCTGCATCCGTTGCTGTTGCTGCTGTTGTGGAGGGTAAACAACTCCCTGGGGTTGCTGAAACTGGTTATGGTTGGCCATTCCAGGGCCTATTCCAGGCCCTGCACCCTGCTGCTGCCGCATCATCTGTTGCTGTCTCAACATGTCCCGAAACTGGGAAGACATGCTGCCGTGATTCACATTCACTGGCTGCGCCTGGGGGCTCATCCCTCCCATGGGTGGCTGGAGTTGCTGCTGCGGCTGCTGCTGGCCCAGGCCAGCCCTCTGCACGCCGGCCTGCATGGGATTCATGTTCTGCATGGCTGATCCAGAGTGGACCCCCTGCTGACCCGGCATGGCTGGGGGCTGCAGCCCTGGCTGTCCCTGGGCCATACCGGGCTGTCCAGGGAGAGGCTGTGGATTAGAGTTGGCGTACTTGGCAGCCCGCTGTTTTATGAATGCAGCCAACAGCTGGGGGTTGGCGTGAAGGATACTAAGCACCTGTTGCTGCTGTAGGGGAGAGCTGGGAGACCTGAGAGTCCGCAGCAGGTTTTGTAAGGCTTGTTGAGACACAGTGCCTGGTTTGAGTGGGCTCACACCTAGCTGGCCCAGTCCTGGCTGTGGAGCCATGTTCAAGGGCTGCCCATGCTGGGCCACTGACATCATGGCTGGCCTTGGCATCCCAGACTGGAGTTGCTGGGGCTGAGGCAGTCCTCCTTGGGCCCAGGGGAGCTGCTGCTGCATTGCCGTGGGCCCCATCCCCGGCTCCAGATGCCCACTGGGACCTCTGTTCATGGGAGGTGGGTTCATACCCATGGGAGTCATGGGAGTCATCTGGGGCATCTGGTGCTGGATTGGCCTTTGGAAAATTTGCACATGAGCCATCTGGCGCTGTGTCTCTGCTGCTCTCTGAATCTGCATTGCCATTTCTACTGCAGCTGGTGGAGGTCCTGGAAGGGGAGGCTGTGCAGTCTGAGGAGGAGTTGGAGGGGTCACCTGACCTGCTGCCTTACCCTGGGACACTGGGCCAGCAGTTTGAGTCCTAGGTAAGTAAGGTGGCATGCTGGCAGGAGGGGTGGGTTGGGGCTGAGAGACAGGTTGGGGCTGGGGTGTCTGCGGGGTTGTTGGCTGCTGGCCCGTCGGTGTGGTTGGAGTGGCAGGAGTTGGGGAGGGCAGGCCCTGCTGCTGCCCCACCACACCGGTGCGCTGCATGCTGGCCATCCTCCTGCGCAGCATCTGGGCCTGCTGGAGCCTGTGTTGCAGTTGCTGTTGCCGCAGCTTTTGCTTGATGTTGAGGCAGAACGGCACAGGGCACTTGTTCTCCTGGCAGTGCTTGGCATGGTAACAGCAGAGGGCAATAAGCTGCTTGCAGATGGGACACCCGCCATTGGTTTTCCGTTTGCAGCCCTTGGTGTGCTGTACAACCCGTTTCATCTTTTGGCAGGAGGGCAGGGAGCAGTTGGCATTGCGGCACTGGCAGGCGTGGACCAGGGACTGGATGCAGCGCTGGATGCTCAGGCGGCGAGAGTCTCCCGGGCTCTGGGTGGCCGCAGCCTGCTGGTTGTTGCTCTCATCATCTAAGCCGAGACCCAGTTTCTCCATCTTGTGGTCATGGTTTTTAGTGTTATAGCAGGTGATACACAAGTCATAATCCTGAGAAAAAAACAGGAGGTGCAGATTAACTCAAGATTTTATCATGTAGGGGCCGGGGAGATAGCTCGGTAGATTAAGTGCTTGCTTGACAAGTGCAAGGGCCTGAGTTCAATCCCCGGTTCCACAAAAACGGAAAAAAAAATTTTTTTATTATGTAAATCATCTGAAATATTATTAAATCAGAGCTTTTTCTTTTTTTTTTTTCTAATAATATTTATTTATTTTAGTGTGTGTGTGTGTGTGTCGCCAGCTCAGCCCACCGGGGGCAGGCTGGCTGGCATGTGGTGCTGGGTGACTGAATCGTGGTCCCTGTGTTTTGCTTGGCTTAGCTTGCTCTAAGTAGGTGCTTTAGACCACTGAGCCATCTCACCAGCCCCTCAGAGCTTTTTCTAGAATAAAACTAGCCACTTAACTGTTACTATCATGCTAGCCCCACCCCCCGTTTTGTTTCATGTGTGTCACCCTTCAGCCCATGAGTCCACAGGCACATGCAGGGCTGACCCCTCCCCATGACTGCCGCATACCTCACAGACAGTGCAGTGCCAGCGTGTCTCCACATGGTGTTTGCACTCGTTGCAGGTGTAGACAAAGCGGTCCTGGCTCTGTGTGTGCAGCTCTACAAGCATGCACATGGTGGACCATTGGGCTCGCCTCAGTGAGGAGAACTCCAAGTGCTTGTCCCGTGCGAGGGTGAGGAATGCATCTCGCCCATCCATCAGATCACAGGGGATGAGCGGGTCCGGGTCAACAATGGGAGGCAGTGAGTTGGCAGCAGGCCCAGCAATGAGGCGGATCACAAAGAAGACCTACGGAGGAGAGGCTCGCTGACTGGAGCACAGCGCTGCCACGGCCGGAAGGATCCCACAGCACACCGGGCAGGGCATGTGGATGCAGGAGCGTTGCCATACCACCCTCTCCCTTCCTGCTCTGCTTTCTCCTAGACGGAAGTATAAGCCATCTAAAATCCACATCTTTTTTTCTCTTCACTTCATTAAATAATTCCAAGAACAATGAGGCTTGGAACCAGCACATGTGCAGTGCCATTGTGCCTCAAGTCTACTTTTAAGATGTAATATTGCTTAAGCTGAAACTAATTATAGGAAACCAATCCTGGCCAATCAGATAAATCTGAAATCATGCCTTCTTTCCTACAAGCTATTTGCTAAAACAGAGATAAAAAGAAAACATAAGAAATGGTGTAAGGGCTCCTCTGCAGCTTTCCTATAGGTTTGAAAATGTTACATCAGTGGGGTTACTTTTTCCTTGTTGCTACAAGCAATAAAAATTTTATTCATTAAGTCTGGAGACTCTTAACAACCATCAGTTCCTATAAAGCTTAGTATAAAAGCTACAACAAGACACCTGGTAGGAGTCGGGGGTAGTAGACATCTGCAATTTGGACTACTGGAAGTTCAAGGCCAGCCTGGGTTACCTAGCTGAATGTCAGCCTGAATGATAGAACAAAACCCTGTCATCCCCCACTACACACCAAAAGAACCTTTGAAATTTATTATCATGCAACAAGAAATTCTGATTGAACCAACTTAGTGGAAAGCTTTACCTCAAGTAACGAAGCTTGACTATATATATATATATTTGAAATTGATTAGCATATCGTTACCTCAAGGAATCAGGAACTCATACGAAACTGCCATGAAACCCACTATTTTTGTCAACTTTTATTAGAATGAAAATCTATGCAACTTGGCAGCCACAGTGGCAAGTGGCAATTATTTATTTATTTATTTATTTATTTATTTGAGAGAGAGAGAGAGAGAGAGAGAGAGA